CCACTCACCTCAGCCTCCCAAAGGCGCGGGATGACGGGCTGAGCCACCGAGCCCGGCTGAGCGTGGCATCTTTCATCGACAAGCTTGCGATCACTCGTGCGTCCCCTGCCGAACGGTTTTCCAGCCAGGGCTTCCTCCCTCTGTCCTCCCCCTCGGCTCTGCCTGTGTGCTTTCTCTCCCTCCCGCTCACTCAGGCTGTGGGGTCCTCAGCTGTGGCCTCCCACCCCCGCCACACCGCCGGCACCCCCACCCTCTGGAGCCATGAGCTCGAGGCTGCAGCTGTCTCGACCTCCCTGTCCCCAGAGCGGGGCATGGCACATGGGGACGGGACACATCTGTCCAAGGCACAGACAGGTCTCCGCCAGAACGGTTCTCCTAACGCACAGCTCTGTCCACGGCCCTTCCCTGCTCAAAGGCACACGCCGTGTCCCGGCCACGCCCTCCCCGAGTCCCAGACTCCCCGGGACTGGCACTCAAAGCCTTTGCAGGGTGGATGCGGCCTGCCGCGGGCTCCCTGTTCCTGGCCGGAGGCGCCCGCCTTCCCAGCCACTCCGTGTGGGCTTCCCTCCCCCGGGACAGCTCGCACTGCCCAGGTGCAGTGTCAGGAGGCCGTGTCCAGCCACGAGGACTGCCAAACAGCTCCTGTGTCTGACTCCTTGGCCAGCCTGGGCTCTGCCCCCACCACCTTCTGGGGTGCTCTGCGTCCCTCCGGTGCCACACCTGGGTTCCCCTGCCCTCTCTCCTCTGCTCCTCAAGGGAAGCGGCCGTGTTTAGGTGGCCTCTGAGCACCATCAGGTGCTAGCACGGCGGGTGGTGTTTGGCTGCCGCGTGGCACCCGCTCACTGAGCCACGGCTGGATTGAAAAGGCGAGGAAGCGCCTGGTCCCAAAGGCTGCGGCGGGCTCCATCCCTTCACGGTCTCCTGGCTGCTGTCTCGGGTGAGGCCACACGGCAGGCGAGCAGGGCCTGCTGGTGGGTCTAAATTCACATCAGGGCTCAGGCTCCATCTTAGTCTCTGGCTGTGACACCAGGGGCACGTGCACTTGGGGTAGGGGTTGTCCTTTGCTGTCAAGGAGGCTTTGTGTACTGGAAGGGTGGATGCTCCCTGAGGACCCGCGGCCCCCACCACACCCCCATGCCGGGCACAGCACTCTTTTTTTTTTCTTTTCTCTCTCTCTCTTTTTAAAGTTGGAGTATCTCACTCTGTCACCCGGGCTGGAGTGCAGTGGCACACTCATGGCCACTGCAGCCTCGACCTGCTGGGCTCAGGCGATCGTTCCGCCTCCACCTTCCAAGTAGCTGGGACTACAGGCATGTACCACCATGCCTGACTTTTTTTGATTTATTGTAGAGACGAGGTCTCGCCAAGTTGCCCAGGCTGGTCTTGAACCCTTGGGCTCAGGCAATCCTCTTACCTCACTCTCTCAAAGTTGGGATTATAGGCATGAGCCACTGTGCCTGGCCTTTTTTTTCTTTTGGAGTTGGAGTTCCACTCTGTCGCCCAGGCTGGAGGGCAGTGGCACCATCACAGCTCACTGCGCCTAACTCTTTAATTTTTTGTAGAGACGAGGTCTCACTATATTTCCCAGGCTGGTCTCCAACTCCTGGACTCAAGCAATCTTCCAGCCTCAGCCTCCCAAAGTGCTGGGATGACCAGCATGAGCCACCGCGCCCAGCTTTCATAGTCTTTCTTTTCCTTTGCTTTGTAACAGGGCTCACCTATTCTTGTATCAGAAGACACCACACTCCCACTTCTGTGGCCACTCCCAGCACCACTCACAGAAACCACCCCAGAATGGCCAGAACAGGGGGCAGAACTCTGCAGGACAGTCTCGCTGGTCCGTGCAGTGGAACACCAACACTCACTCCGGAGCATCAGGGCTGCTTCCTCCCCAGATTATACCCAGTCCCTCCTCAGGCCCGGCACTCGCTCAACCAGCCCACAGAGTGTCTCCCAGCTGCCCAAGACCAAGCGCAACAACTGGCCAGCTCCACGCAGGCGACCTAGGGTCCCTAGACCCGGCAAGCATCTGCGCCGCTAAAAGTCTGTTCTTCCAAATGTGCTGAAACGCCCTGGGGATGAATGTCTGGCGTCTAAGCTGCCATGATGGTTCACTTCCAACTCGGCTGAGCACAGTGAATGCCATGGAGCGAGCCGGCCGGCCGCTGCCGGGCGACGGTTCACACCAAAGAGCAGCGCCCAGTCCTGCAGTGGGGTCACTCTGTCCTCCTCATCCCCCAACACGGAAGCATGGGACAGGCAGGCCACCTTGGTGACGCCAACGAGGCCCGCAGAGGTGCCAGGCTGCAGCCACATGACCCCCAGCCCGCCCAAACACGATGACACATCCCACAGCTTTCCCGGCACCTTTTGCGTGGTCTTTATCCAGCTGGCTGGCGACTTTTTTCCACTCTTCCATCTGCTCTTGAAGTGGGTTGATCAGACAATCAATCAAAGCACTTTTGCCAAACGGGAAAGAAAAGGAGAAAGGAGAAATTAAAGGTACGGTCTGTTGTCAGGATTCCCACGTGGTTGTCAAAACACCTCAACGGCCACCTGAAGCGGAACAGGCAGTGTGAAGAGGTGCCACTCGCGGATGGACGGCGGGGAGAGGCCCACAGAGCGCAGAGGGGGCTTGAAGGGGGCATGGGCTCCGGGACGGGAGGACCCGGAAGACCCAGTGCCCCACCATGCCTGGAGGCAGCCGATGCCCGACAGGACTCATCAGTGAGTGAGCGGAGTCAGAAAGCAACGGTGTGGGGGTTAAGCCGCGCGTACCCGCCTCCCCGACTCACCTGGAGAACTGCCGCAGCTTGGCCTCTATGCTTCGGTGCCGCATGCACATTCTGGTGAGGGCGGAGCCGATCTCCCGGGTGCCGCCTGGGGAAGAGGGTGAGACAGGGCACAGATGAGGGCCGGAGGGCAGGCGCGAGCACCGACACCGGAGGTCCACCCCAGCACACTGGAAAGCCGGGACCTCTGCCTTCCCAACCCGTTCACCACTCGTGCGTGGGCATGCATGCACACACAAATGTATCCACGCATGGTGACATATTTGACATATTTGTTGTTGCTGTTGTTTTTGAGTCGGGGTCTCACTCTGTCGCCCAGGCTGCAAAACAGTAGCACAATCACAGCTCACCGCAGCCTTGACCTGCTGGGCTCAGGTGATGCTCCTGCCTCAGCCTCTTGAGTAGCTGGGACTACAGGCACGCGTCACCATGCCCGGCTATTTTTGTTTTTGTAGAGACAAGGTCTTGCTACGTTGCCCGGGCAGGTATCAAACTCCTGGCTCCAGCAATCCTCCCACCTCAGCCTCCCAAAGTGCTGGAATGACAGGCGTGAGCCACTGTGTATTTGTATGTTACCAAAATGAAGCTTACTCATACTATACACAATACCTTTGATAGTTCCTAGTCTATCTGGTGTTTTTGGTAGTACTGATCGTGATGTAGAAATCGGCCTTACAACCCATGAATGGATCATGATCTATAGTTTGAAAAACACTTCTAATGAAGTAGGACTTGGTGTTTAAGACAAAGCTATAGTTTCTTCCCCACTTGTAGCAAAATAATTTCTCTTCACATAACTGAGAGCAGCTGAGGCAGCCACTTCAGCTAATTACCTTAAGACACACATTCCAGAACACAAGCAATTCGGAGGACAGCGAAGCTACGGCAAGATGAGACAGCAGAACATCTGACAGGCGGGTCTGGGTGACACGGGGGACCCAGCAAATGTGGACGAAGCCGCAGCACAGCTGCCTTCCCCGAAATGCCTGCCGCTCTTTTCCCTCCAGGCACGCCCTTCCCCAGGACTATTTCTGAAGTCCTCTTCCCTCCCCGTCTCCGAAACAACGCTTGGGTCAGCGTTTCCTGGGGCGCATGGGCGCAGGCCGCCACCGCAGACGGTAACTCCACACTGGGCATGGCAGGAGCGACGATAAATGTTATGAAAACACTGGTGCTTGCGGACGGGGGAAAGTGTCACCGAAAGCCCTGTTTTCGAAAGCACAGACAAGACTTTCAAGACAGCTGCAGGCGTGTGCAGTGGGTCTCACCACATCCAGTTAATAGAACACCCTCTCTCTTAGGGTGCCGGCACCGTGATTTCAGGCTGCACCTCCTCTACTCTCTTTCCTAAAAACGCCTGTTACTCTTTGTTTCACCTGTTTCCCATTTTCTCTGGCAAAACCAACAGGTTTCTGCAACCAGATCGTCGCCAGCGTCACGACCTACATGACGTACAAATGTTTCAGGGTTTTATTTTCATCTGAAGCAAATAGCCTTCTCGGGGCAATTCTTCCACTAAAACATCACCGACGTCCCGGGCAGGTAAGTTTAGTCGCTGGCTGTCCTGGGCACTGTGAGATGTTCAGCAGCAGCCGTGGCCTGCACTCACTGGGAGCCAAGCACAGCCTCCCTGCACCCCCAGCCCCAGATCTGCGACACCTGCAAAATATCTCCAGCCAGTCCCCCAAGTGTTCCCTGGGGGGCAAAGTCACCCCCGTGGAGAACCACTGCTGTAAAAGAGCTTCAGCAAGGACTCAGTGTCGCCCACGTCTGACCGCGTACGTGGCCGGAAGTCTTTTAAACGCTGCCCTTTGGCTCCTGACCTCTGCACCCCAGCAGCAGGGCCACGGCCACCGTCTCCGCATGGCCGCCTACCAGGCCACACCGCCCCGCCAGGGCCGGCCAGCAGAGGGCGATGTCCTCACACGCTCTGCCAGCCTCCAGGCTCCAAGTTTAAGTTCATGGCTTATTCGCCAGGATGAGGAATGCTTTAGCCCTGGGGAAATATCCTCTGCTTTTTCTGGGCCTTCCTTGGATGAAAAGTTACTAACCTGACCACACAGGCAACTGGCACACTCGCTCGCTGGTAGGAGTGGAGACTAGAACTTTCTGGAGGAACGCTTGGTAGCGTCTCTCAAGAAAAGCCTTGACAATAGACACCCCCTGTGACCCAGCAATTCCAATCCTAGAACCTGAGCATTTGATCCCGCACGAGAGCAATCCTGACCCACGAGGGGAGTTGTCAAACGGCTGTTTACGACAGCAAAATCCTGGACGCCCTGGACACCCGACTCCTGTTACAAGGAGTAACAGGAGTTACCTTGTGGCTCAGTGAACCACAAAGCACAGCCACACGGTGGAACCTCCTGGAGCTACTCAGACGCCACAGAACTGTGTTTGGGGCCATGGAAAGGGGCCGCGTGTGCCCCACTTGCAGTGGGCCGGGCGCAGTGTCAGCGCCCTGCACCTGTCGCTTGCCCAAGCCTCATGGCACCCCTGGGGCACCGCACTACAATCACCCATTTACCAGACAGAAGTGCTCCAGGGGGCTGTCCAGGGTCACACCGGTACGGAGCGGGACTCCAGTCACGCTTTCATCCTCCCAGCAACACGACTCTTGTCACAGACTGGGACGAGCACACGCCAAGCCCCCTTGTCTGCGCACCATCTGGGGTGCTGGCGCCTCACCGCCACCCCACACGTTAGTCCTCGAGCCTGGCACTGCCCACCGGGCACACAGGGATCACAGATGCTCTGTGGACGACCTGCGCCTCTGTGTCCTCAAGACAGAGGCATGAGGTCGGGAAAGGCCAAAGGTCAGCTCCCCCTCCTGGTCTCTGCCTCATGACGTCTGTCCCCTCCCCAGATAGTCTCACAGACCGCTGGATGCCGGCAAGCGGCTGGCGGCACTGAGACCCGGGTCCCCTTCCTTGTTGCTGTTTCAGAAACAAAGCGAAAAGGGCAGTATGGACACATAAAACCACGGGGGCTGGCCACTGAACGTCTCCAGGTCAGCCCGAAACTTTCCAGCAGGAGCTTCTGGACACAGCGCATGTGTCCGCCCTCCCTCGGCAAGACAGGAAGCCCCGCAGAGGACAGGAAGTAAAGAACCACAGAGAAGCTTCCAGCAGCAGCGTCCCGGCCAGCGGGCACGGGGGAAGGGGGCAGCTGACATCCTCCGCGGACCCCAGGGCCAGCTGCTGGGATGGCTGCTGCTCTCGGCAACACGGGGCGCCCTAAAAATAGGTCCATCCGTGGATGTGTTTACCACGTCTTGTGCTCGCCCTAGCCCTTGCTGGAATTTAAAAAAACCCCAGCAGATCTGAATAAGCTTCAGAGGAAACTGGCTTCAGCTACAAAGGCGGAGAAGGTATCCGGAGGGCTCTGAGCTGACAGCGAGGACGTGTGTGGACTCGGATGGAGGGCTGGGCACATGGTGGCTCAGGAAGAGGTCAAGGCCTCACTCCCGTGTTCCTGGACCGGCCGTGGTGTTGACCCAGGGACCCACATTCACCATCCTGGCACGTCGCCGGGCTGGCCCTGCTGGGAGTGGGGCCGGGACTGGGCTTGTGCTTCGCTTCATCCGTACATCTCTGTGCCACAGAAGACTCAAAAGAAAGTGAGACGCCGGATCTTAGCGAACAGGCCGACGTGGACTCAAGGCCGCCCGGAGAAGTGGCGCTGCGTGCGTTCACTCTGGCTGTTGCAACATAATAAGCTGCCAGACGCCTTGGGTGCTCAAGGCAGCACGCGTGTGTCATCTCACAAATGCACCCTCTCAGTTACCCCAAGCTAGACTCGAGGTGTTGCAGGCAGGCCTGCGTTCCTCCTGAAGGCTGGAGAGGAGAACCAGCCTCCCTGCCTCCTCAAGCTCCCAGAGGCTGCCCGCGTGCCTCGGCCCGGGGCCGTCCTCATCTTCACGGCCGGGGTGCGCCGTCTCCCTTCTTCCCGTCCTCGGCGGTGTCCCGCATCCCCCTCTGACTCCGAGTCTCCGTGTCCTTCTCGCGCGAACCCTTGTGATGGCACTGGACCCACCCAGAGGCCCTGAATGGCCTCCCCGTCTCAAGAGCCGGCTCACACCTGCAGGGGGCCCTGCGGCCGTGTACGGCGCTGCGTTCACAGGCTCTAGGGAGGTGGCCCAGGGCTGCTTTCCGGCCCAGCGGAGGGCCGCTGGGGCAACTCGTGGCCCACCCGTCTTCACCAGGCCAGCTGGGGCTGTGATGCTGATCCCGCCGCCCGGCAGTGGCCAGAGAGGGTGAGACACAGTAGCGGAGTGAAGGCTGCCGGGGAGGCCATGGGGAGAGTCCCCCGGTCTCAAGAGGAACCCAAGAGCCCACAGTCCACATCTGTGTTGAGCTGCAGGGGGTGGGGGAGGGGTGCCAGACCCTGGCGCTACGCTACAAGTCGTCACAGAGACCACACTCCGTTCACACGCAACGAGCCCCTGCTCTCCGTTCAAGAGACGCCCAGCTCACGTCCGTCACCCCAACGCTTTGGGAGGCCTCGGCGGGAGGATTGCTCGAGGCCAGGAGTTTGAGACCAGCCTGGGCAGCAGTAGCGAGACCCTGGCTCTACACAAAAAAGCACAAACATGAGCTGGGCGTGGTGGTGCGAGCCTGTAGTCCCAGCTGCTCAGGAGGTTGAGGTGGGAGAATCACTTGCGCCAGGGAGTCCAAGGCTGCAGTGAGCTATGATCACTGATGAGACCTTGTTTCAAAAAAAAGAAAAAGAACAGAGACACTGGTCATACGTGAGTCACCGAACAGCACGCTGTGCCCTTTCGTGAGCCTTGAAAATGGCTTCACAACTACCCACACGTTTCTGTCTGAGCCATTTTAAAGATCCCTGGAGTGTTCTTGCAACAAACACACGAACTGAGGTCAAGGAAACTAACAGCCGCGAAGCGTGAGTCCTTCAAGCCATGGAAAGAGGTTCCGGAGGACAAAAGTGAAAAACCTTTACAAAGATTTTCAAAAATGAATCCATAGCGGCTGCAACCAGGACACGCAACCCCCCTCTGCTACAGCGGCAAGCCCACCACGTGCTCGGTCTTCAAGGAGAGGAGCCCCTGGAATCTCCTGCTCCAGA